AATAATAATTAAATAGCGTACGCATGTATACGCAGACCGACGCGCGTACGATCCGCGTGTACATACGTATTATATATCATAGAAAGTAGTATTGTTCCGATACTCGACCGCGAACCGAGTGTTTAGGCGAGACTCGAGATCGAGATTTTTTCTAGACAAATTTTTCTAATTGTTGACGAATGCGATTGGAGTTCTGCGGGTTGATCGCGAAACGTCTCCTCTATCGATACTTACTGACTTACTCGCGTATCAAACGACGAAGTAATACGATTACACCCCTAGACAAAATTCAGCTCGTTTGGCGTCCGTGCGCCACACCCGCGAACGAAGGATCCGCAGAGTCGCGAGAAGTATCGAGACCGCGATTCCTTTTCGGGGCGCGACCCCTAAAGGGATTCGATCTTTGCCGACGGATCGCGGTCGGGCAGCGATCGCCGATCCTTCGCGCTTACACACGTACACGGAGGACACACACGCGACACTTCCTTCTTCTCGTACACACGCATCTGTATATAATATACATACATAGACACACGTGAAACGTATGTGCGTGTTTTTCGTGCGCTGAATAAAGCCGTAGACAATTCTCTTTGAACGTGAACGTTTTAGCTGAATGTTTTTTATCGTCACGAGCCGCGCGTGCACCCGCAATGTCGGCGACGAACGGTGCGAGAGAGTTGTCCGTTGACCGCGAGATCTCCGCGTCGTCCACGACTACTCGTGAATTCACGTATCGATAGGGAAATTGATTTTCGCTTCGCGCTGGAACGAGCTCCGGCGAGCCTCGGAGCCTAGAAAAAAAATTAGGATAAATTTTATTTTACGAATCACCAGAGAGCGGACTCGTTCTCCTCACGCAATCGGTTCGGGATAATTTGGGGAACGCACGCGGATATTAGGAAAATTTGTTGCGCCCGGGTCGCCTCGGTCGTCCGCGCCGGGCGAACCAGTCGCGATCATCAATTTCGACGTTGTCAATGATCGCGCGATCTCCGCGATCAGGTGGCAGACAAGCAGATAACGATACGCGACCGTAGCGAAATTTATACATTAATACGTGCACGGAATCCACATGACGCGCCGATACACAGTTGCAAAACAGATAAACGATGACGATTGATAATAATAATAACGATAAGAAGCTACACTCGCAACAAAGTAGTTATCGTTTCAAATTGCTCGTATCACAAAAAGTAACGGCAACGGCAACAAGAACAGCAAAAAGAAATAATAATAATAAACAGTATGTTAGGTATGATGATTCTTCACCTCCTTTGTAATATGTGTGATAAAGCATAATATATGATATAATGACAATTATATAGATAGATATACATATATATATATATATATATATATNTCGCTACTTCTACTACGACTAGTACTATTACCACTACTACTACTACTATTACTACTACTACTACTACTACTACTACTAGAGTGTCTAATGTAGTTGTACGCGTATATCTCCATGTACCAAAGAACACAACACAGTTGATCGTATTTGTACATCTGATGTATACATGGACACGTGCACGTTCAGGAAACGCGGAGGGAGATTCACGAAACACGTGGATCTTTCGTTTCGTCGGTGAACATCGGATTCGTGCGTTGGCCAGCTACGACCGCGAGACGTGGTCGTAGCAGCGAACTCGTTGTCAGTCAGTGTATGTTCGTGTGTATGTTTAACGTAAAAAACTTAGAGAGTAAAATGTGATAAGGCTATAAGACAGAATAAGCTGGAGCTGGGAGCCGTGCAATGTTCTTATCGGACGTGAGAGAGACAAAGAGAGAGAGAGCGAGAGAAAGTGAGAGAGTGAACACGAGAGATTGACGGAGTGTCAGAGAGAGGAAGTGGAATCGAACGGGACGATATNTTAAATAAATATGACTGCGTGTACCACCGGGGGTACACGTGGCCTGACGATCAAGTTTACCGTGTACCACCGGTGGTACATGTGGCACGGAACGTGTTAACGGAATGGTGTACCATTTTTGGAATGCATCCATTCCGAGAGGCGACTCACCACTGACGTACTTATTGACGTACCTGTCCGTCCGAGTTGGCAAAACGAGTCGAGGTCTATTGGATTTAACTTTGT